TGATCTTCATCTTGGTCTCTCGGCCATCGCCAATGTCGATCGTCGCGAAGCGGAACGCGCTGGTGGAGAATTTTTGGGTGGCCATGTTGCGCACGATGCTTGCGACGATGTTCAGAGGTGAGCTCTGGCTCCCTCGCCCGACGGCCACCCTGCGAAGAAGGGCGGGAGGAGTAAAATCCTCGCTGTAGACGTTGGAGTTGCCAAGACGAATCGAGTGGCCAAGTTCCGAAACCGATCCGGGGTCGTGTGCTGGCATGGTAGAGGCGGTCATGCTATCCTCACGTACGGCAACGGTGGAGCGCGAAGAAGCGGTAGTAGGCACGAGCGCTGCATGTCGCGTTGCAGCAGGCGCAGCAGCGGGCGTCGAAGGGTGCCCGCTAGCGTACGCCAGAGCTCAAGTATCGCACCCCGTACCATGCTCTAGCAAGCCTGCCCATCCGCTCTCTGGAGCTCGCGGATCAGCTACCGAACGAATGACCGCAAATGCTTCCGAGATTGTTGCCATGCGACGGATGCTCTCGTCCCTGTCAACGCCAGCGCGGACGAGCTCGGCGGCGATATCCAAGCACACGGAAGCCTCCCCCTTCATGTCAAACGCTCTTGCCTCTGGCACGAGAAGTGCTCGTGCCTCGTTCCACAGCGTCATGGCCTCCCTCATGCTGCCCGATGTCTCGTTTGACATGATGAACGCCAACACGCGCGAATCTGAAAGGCAGCGAGTAAGAAGACAAGGGGTGTCGATCAAAAAGCCCAGCGCTCTAATCTGTCGCCTGCTGGTATGAGAACATGCACGGCCGTCGGGTGAGTATGAGTGGAGTGAGTGTCAAGATGGTCGTGAAGAAAGATGGACAAGGTCCACCGGAGGAAAAGTGGATATGGCCTGCTTAAATGCACCTCTGCCTTCCGCACTTGCTGCTCGCAGTCTACAACATTCCAGATGCGGGTAAGAGTGGTTCCGAATTTGACCACGACGGCGCTCAAGACGAGCGTGGCGGATGTGCGGAAAGGTGCGGAGGAAGAGGATTGCCCGCCGCGCGGCGGAGGCGCTTTGCTCCCGATAGGCTCGTTCGCTCGTCCTAGACAAAACTGCAAGGGTGCTCTCACAGCGTGTCATCGACCTCATCATTCTTCACTTCCGTCGTCCTGTCGTCCTGTGCTAGAAACGGGAGTTTGGGTAGAGCTGCACTCTTCCTGACACGCTTGGTGACTTGCGCCCCAAATCTTGGGCTACACTCCAATCACGACCGCTGCCGATTCCCTCCGATTGAGTCTTGATCAGCGATGCAAACCAAGCTTCAACCTCACGCGAACTCCGCAACTTTGGACGGCTACACATGCATGAATGAATGTCAAATGGTAAAAAGTGCATGCTAGACTGGACGGCTGTTGAGATGATTCTAGGCCTCGACGTCCTGCTGGCCCGAGTACTCGGGGAGGATCTTGCAGGCGCCTTCCCAGTCGAGGCTTGCGTCGCAGAGCTGGCGGATGACGTCGATGACCTGGTCGATGGGGCCGATGCGCTGTGCGGTCGAGTCGCGCTCACGCAGCGTCATGGTGCCCTTGCTGAGACTGGCAAAGTCGAGCGTGCAGGCAAACGGCGTTCCGAGCTCGTCGTTTCGCGCATACCTCCTGCCGATACTCGCGTTGGAGTCGTCCACACGCGACGCCACACCGGCGGAACGAAGCTTGCGGCTCACCTGCTTGACCAGCGGCGCCAGCTTCTCGTTGGAGCTGATGGGCACAATGAGCGCCTTGATGGGTGCCACCAGAGGAGGCAGACTTAAAACACCACGGTCCTGATCCTCGGCACGCGTCCAGAAACTGTGCTCCAACAGCGAGTAGAAGATACGGCCGATACCAAACGAGGGCTCGATCACGTTGGGCGTAAACTCGCGCACCGTCTCGCGGATCGTCTTCATCTCCACCGTCACCACATCGGTGGTGAGCTCAAACGTCTGACCCGTGCAGACCGTCAGCGGTGCCGATCCGTTCTTGAGCTGCGACTCGAGCTCGCCGAGCTTCTTCTGGTCCATCTCGAGAATCGCCTCCTCGACAATCTTGGCATCCTTCTTAAACTTGGGACCAATGTTCTTCTTGACGATCGTCGCCACGAGCTTGTCGTACACCTTGGGCTCCTTGTGCGCCTTTTGCACCACAAGATCCTTCTTGGTCCTCTTGCTGTGCACGGTGAGGTCGTAGGCGCTGCGGTCCGCACAACCGACGCACTCGATCCAGCCGTAGGAGGTGTGGATCTCGGCGTCCCAGCAGTCGCTGGCGTAGTGCGCCATCTCGTTGCTCATGTGCTGGCGGAAGCGCAGACGCCTGGGGTCGATGCCGATCTTGACGAGGAAGAGGTAGATGCGGCCGATAAAGTAGCCGAGCGTCTGGTTGTCGATGACGCCCTGTGCGACGGCGTCGCCGATGGTCTTGGTGGTGATGTCGGTCTTGCCGGACTCCTGCACGTCCTTGGCGAGCAGCGGCACCTGGATGTCCTTGACCTCGTCGAAGCGCTCGTGGTTCTTGTCCTCGGGGTCGACAAAGTGCTCGATCTCGGCCATGGTGAACTCGCGCACGCGCAGCAGACCGGCGCGCGGGCTGATCTCGTTGCGGAACGACTTGCCGATCTGCGCACTGGCAAAGGGGACGCGACCGTTGTTGAACTCGAGCAGACGCTGGAAGTTGACAAAGTGGCCCTGCGCCGTCTCGGGACGCAGGTAGCCCTTGACCTGGCCGGTGGGGCCGATGGAGGACTCGAACATGAGGTTGAACTCGATGGGCTCCGAGACCTCGTTGCCGGACTCGGGCGAGCGGATGTCGTACTTGCGGATGAGCTCGCCGAGCTGCTTGCCGTCGAAGTTGTCGATCTGCGCGAGCGTCGAGGTGTATTCGGCGACCAGCGCATCGTCGAGCTTGACGGCGCTCGACTTGACCTTCTTCTTCTTGGTCTTCTTGTCGTCGCCGGCGGCAGGCTCAGCGGGGACGGCGATGGTCTCGCCGGCCTCTTTGGCGCGCGCCTGCTTGTCGCCCTCGAGACGCGCCTCGAGCACGCCCTCGACGAGGTGGTCTGCACGGAAGATCTCGCCGTTCTTGGTGTCCTTGCACATCCAGTCGGCAAACTTGTCGACGTGGCCCGAGGTCTTGAGCACGTCGGCGAGCGTCATGATGGTGGTGTCGAGCTCGAGCATCTCCTCCTCGATGATAAAGTGGTTGCGCCACTGGTTGATGATGTTGGCCTGGAGCGCGGCACCGGTGGGGCCGTAGTCGTAGAGACCACCCACGCCGCCGTAGATCTCGAAGGCCTGGATGTAGAAGAAGCGCTTGGTCATGAGGCCCTCGAGCTGGCCGCGCGAGAAGGGGTGCGCATCGCGCTTGACCTCGGTGCGGTCAGACATTTTGCGAGCTGTGGATGTTGCGGAGAATGGAAGTGCGAGCGAAGGGGATGGCAGGCAGCGAGGCGCTGTCGAAGCCGAGGGACGAACGAGAGCCGCCGAAAAGTGTCTGGAGAGGTTCGGCAGAAGGGATCGAGGCGCTACCAGCATAAACGTGGGAGCGTGTGCTCGATAGAGAGGGGTGGATGAGGGTTGGTGGTGAGGAAACGTCCAAAGGTCGGACGACCACAAATCGCTGATTGGTCCTCTGGGGTGGATTTTGTGAAGAAGATCTGCAATCCAACGAGAGCCATTCGGACACTCGGCGGAGCAGCAGCGGAGCAGCAGCGGAGAAACACACTCGACGGGGAGGCAGCGGGAAGCGCTTTCTTTCCGCTTCTCCAGCTCACCGCGCCAAAAGTGACTCGCGAGATTTTCGAGCTCCTGCTTTGTGCTTTCACTTCAATCTCACATTCAAGTTCCGAGAAAATCATGTCGAGGGTCCAAACTCGAGGCTGGACTGTGCGCGCGTACTTGGGCCCTGAGCGCATGCAGGAGAATGCAGCGCACCGGCCACTCCTCTGGACAAAAAAAAA